ATTTTTGGTGGTTTGGCAGCTCATTAATCCTTGATCCCTGTGGTGCAGGTCTGGTTTGTGTGATGCCTCAGGGCTGGAGGTGCCTGTGCAGTGCTGGGCAGTTCCTGAGCTCAGTGTGACCACACCGTTACCAACCCCGTTACCTTCTGGGATTTCACACAGAATTCCAAACCTTGAGTCTGTGTTCTGACTGAGCTTGAGGGAACAAATTATTTAGAACCTGCCCTATCAAAACACTCCTTTAACCCTTTCACAGCAGTTCTTTTCTTCACTGTTTGGGAATGAAGACTTCTCAGAAGTCAGGGGTGTAGTCTGGGGCTCTCCTGGTCTGCCAAGGAGTAAATATGACATATATGTGTGTGTATCTGGATACCCACACACACATGTATGTGATATATGACAGAACTTCTGGGGACTGTTAGGAGGCAAATAATCCAGGGAATCTCTTATTTTAAAAGTCAGTTTTATCACCCAAGGGACCTTGTTTTGTTTCAGGGCTTGAGGAGTCCAGGGATTCATCTCACTGAACTGCCAAAATATAATAATATCATGATTGTTCCTGCTGTTTAGCTCTTACATCCTTCTTTTTATTGTAATTAGTGAAACAGGTTGGAACTTGGAAGGAACATTCTAAACCATTGCCTTCAGAGCCCCTTTGGGCCCTTGCTGCTCCTTTACAGGCCTTAATTTTGAAACCTTAATTTAAGAGAGAGGGTGAGAAGGGCAGTAAATAACCAGCTTTTCCATCCAGGCAGTCCCTGTGTGGATCCCTCACTGGGGGTGGTGTCCAAGTCCGTGGTGCTTTTTCCAGGGGTGTGTTTAGAAGGGCTGGTTCCCTTTGGAACAGAGGATTAATAGCACAGGGAAAACAGAAGCTGAGAGTCTGTGAGTGAGAATTTCTTCAGGAGAACGAAACCTTTGGCACCTGTTTGAATCCCCTGTGCTGGGGAGCCTGTGTGTGTTGATGGGATATGTCCAGTAAATATTGCCCTGTGTTTGGCCCAGGGAGACTGCAGCTATGGACGGGAGCTCCAGCCCCACTTATGTGTGGAGGACGTAAATATTCCAAGGAATAAAAGGCATCTCCTCATGGCCAAGTCCAGCTGGGATCAGAGAGCACGATCCTCCAGGAAAGGCGTGGCACACACATCCCAAATGAAGCCATTCCTGCCTGACAGAGGTGATAACCAGAGTGAACTCTTCACCACCTTTAAGATAACCAAGCCAAAGCCTCCCACAAGAACTCCTGGATCCAGTGTGGAGGTGGATCCTTCGGCATCTCCCTCAGGAACGTTTGCTCTGGATGAACAGCCTGACCAGGGCAGTGAGAGGGACAAGGAGCTGGAGGTGACATTTGACTTAAATGCAGTTATTGACCTGTGTGACAGCAGTGACAGCACTGACATTCCTGACAGTCCAGCAGCAAAGGGAGACAAACCTGCAGGCAAAGCTCCTGGATCCCTGGGGATGCTCCCCGGGGATTCGGGGTACGAGACATCACCGCTGTCCTCGGACTTGTTCTATCTCCCCGAATCCTACAGGGAGTCACTCGGGAGACCCTCCCAGGAGCCTCCTGGCTTAGAACAAACATTGTCCCGTGTGCAGAGGCTTTTGTCACAGTCCCCTCCCCCCATTCCCTCCTGGAATGAACTTGAGGACTTGGAGAACGTGGTGAGGAGTGAGGAAACAATATGTCCTGTCCCAGAGGTTATCCCTGAGGGTCACTCTGCAGGACCACGGGACAATGCCTTCTCCACGTCCTCAGGAGCTGATCCTTCACTGCTGCTCATGGAAAATCCCAAACCGAACATCCCCAGGGAATTCCGTGCTCCAAGAAGTCCCTGTTTGTCCAAAACTGCCTCATCTTCCAAGGCTGCTGTTGTTGAAGAGGAGCACGCCTGGAATGACAGCTTTGATGGGCTGTTTGACAGCAAGGAATTCCCTGCCATCCAGGGGAACGCTCCAGCCACAAACCACAGCCTGGCAAACGACCCTTCCAACAAGCACTTTGTGCACAGAGACACTGCAGGTGCTGCCACTGACCATGAGAAGGTGGTGGCTGGTGGAGAGCAGAGCATCCATTTGTTTGAGGATGAGCCTGTGGATGACACCGGGGACAGCGGGTTATCCGTGAGCAAGGAGCCTCCAGCCAGGCCAGATCCAGGTGGGAATGTCATCGGGACAGATGGAGAGCGAGGATCCAAGGGGGTTCCCTCCGAGGGGCCCTGTGTGAACACCAGCACCTGCAGGGAGCAGCCCCAGAGCAGTAAATCCATGGAAACAGCAGGAGTGCCCGAGCAGGGCCTGGAGAACGAGGATCTCTACGACTGTTCCCAGGAGCTGTTCTCTGTCACCTTCGACCTGGGCTTTTCCATCACAGACAGTGACAGTGAAACCCCCGAGGAAAACGGGAATACTGGGAACACCAGCAAAGCAAACGGTGCCCCGGGGAGTGGTGCAGGGGCAAAATCCACTGAGGATGGAAAGATATTCCTGAGGGATGGGTCCAGGCTGGAAACCTCACCAGAATGGGATTGCAGAGGTCTGGAGAGAAGAGGCGTTTCCACACCGTTGTCAATCCAGAGCAGGGGCGTGAATGACAGGGAAGGGCCAGAGGCTGCTCCTGCTGCAGTGCCTTCCCTGAAATCAGGAGGCAGGAGAACGGGAAGGGCATCACCCGAACCTTTGCCTTCGGCGCTTTCGACCCCAATAAGCAGGAAGGGTGGGAATGTGCAAGCTATCAAAAGGATTCCCAGGAAAGTCTTCTCCAGTGCCAGAGAGGAGACTCCAGAGGTGCCTCCTGGAGATAAAGTCCATAAAAGCCCACGTGGGCAGAACTTTGGGAGTTCAGCTGTGGGTTCCCCTTTGGGAAGAACTGCAAACCTGGAAGACATCACCCTCCGTGGATCCCGAGCGTGTCCTGCTGCAGGTAGGGGTTTTGGTGGGGCAGTTTGGATACCTTCATGTTTAGTCAACAGGATCCAGTGTCTCCTGGATCCTCAGCTTGGTCTTGTGAGTGAGGTGGGAAGGCTGAAAGGAGAAGGAGTAATGGCTGCAATACTGGAATTGGGTGGATGAGGAGACTTCACCCCACACGCAAGGAAGGACTGGGAATTAAACCTGAACCTCCTCACAAGTGTTGAAGCCATGGGAGATGTGATTGTGTGAGTTAGAGCTGCCTTCAAAGCCCTTTCTTAATCTCAGGATCTGACTGGTGCTCCTCTGGATCTCTTGATCCCTGAATCCATGCCTTCATGTTTTCCTGTCACTGTTCCTGAGGAGTGGAAACTCTACTGATGGATTTCTTTCCATTTACTCACATGCCAATTGACTTCTATTTCAAATTTTCTGATCACAACTGCAGCACAAGCCTGGGATCTCTTATGTAATCCCAGAATGGTTTGGGTTGGAAGGGACTCCAAATCTCATGGTGTCCCACCCCTGGCCTGGGCAGGGACACCTTCCAGGCCCTTGTCCCCAGTCCCTCTCCAGCTCTCCTGGAGTCCCTTTAGGCCCTGCCAGGGGCTCTCAGCTCTCCCTGGAGCCTTCTCTTCTCCAGGGCAACCCCCCCAGCTCTCCCAGCCTGGCTCCAGAGCAGAGGGGCTCCAGCCCTGGGAGCATCTTTGTGCCTCCTCTGGACTCACAAATACCGTTCCTTGGCTCCATTCCATGCACCCAGAGGGATTTGTGTCACAAAATACTGCCACAAGGGTAACTCTTACTCAACTTTCAAGGGCTTTTTCTCTTGGTTTGGTGTTTCCCCTCCCTTTTTCCATCTCTGTACTGCCCAGGGTAATCACTCCCACCCTGAGAGTCCCCAGGGAAGCAGGATTTATTGTACATCCCAGCTGGAGATTATCTATTTTGATTAACAAGGCTAAAGAGAACAATATTTGTCCTGCAGATCAATAAATAATCTCCTTTGGAGGTACTTTTGTGAGAGAGGCAGGTTTTGATTGCTCAGTTATAGCAATATTGTGTTGTGAACTGTGCAATTCCCAGTGAATGTTGTTTACTCTTTCTGCTGCAGGAACCAGCAGTGAGAGCGAGGAAGAGATCGTTTTCCAGAGAAAAAACAGGATAAAAAAGAATGTTTTGAAGTCTCCTGATGTGAGTCTTAGAAAAAGAAAATAGGCAAGAGAAGCAAAATGACAATTCAAGCAGCCAAGCACAAATGCTGTGAGCAGTGATGGTTATTCCTGTTCCCACAGGGGATGGACGAGAGTGACTTTGAGTGCCCGCGGCGTCGCGTCCCCAGGAAACGTCGGCACCCCCTGGACGTGGTCAGTGAGTGCCTTGGGAAAGGGGGGAGATAATGGGAACTTATCCCTGCTTCCCTTCTTCTGTTCTTCCCCCAGGTCTCCAAAGATCACAGAATCCCAGAAGGGTTTGGGTTGGAAGGGACCTTAAAGCCCATCCAGTGCCACCCCTGCCCTGGGCAGGGACACCTTCCACCAGCCCAGGCTGCTCTAAGCCCCAAAATATCAACCACAGGAAATCAGGTGTTCCTTAAAAAGCAAATGTTGAAAGATGATTGAGTTATCCCAGGGCTGGAGCCCCTCTGCTCTGGAGCCAGGCTGGGAGAGCTGGGGGTTTCCCCTGGAGAAGAGAAGGCTCCAGGGAGAGCTGAGAGCCCCT